TGCTGCCTTACATAGATCTTACATGACTTACAGCTTAAGCAAAAGCTTGCCATGTGGAACTCATTAAGGGTTTTCCAAAAAAATACACTATGACATCTGTACTGCCGTTATTAACTCCACATAACCTCCTGGAAAATGTCAAACAGATTGTAAGGCAGAATCATTTTGTCAATCCATTGTAATGACCTACCATAAGATTACAACTATGAGCATGTGTTCCTGAGCTCCTAAATGTTCCTCTCCACTGATTTTTTTTAAACTCTTCTCTGTTAAATTATGTTTTAAATAAAAGTGACAAATGAATAACCACATAGGGAAGAAATTCCATTGGTATCAGAGAGAATATTTTGCTGCACCTGAAAAGGTTCAACATGTTTTATAAAAGAGTTATAATCCACTTGTGGTCTAGGCCTAGATCTTCCTGGTCAAAATTGTAGCAATATCCAGCAATTTTTGTTGGGATGAGCTCCACATGTAAAAGTTACTAATCCTGTCATAAAACTCAAAATTTCCAGGAGCACAGACAGATGGCTTCAAAAGCAAAGCATCTATTCAATCACAATTATTCATCTTAAAAAATCAAATGTAAGTCTATAATTCAACATTTGTAATGGAAGAAAAAGGATAGATAGTAAGAAAAAAAATAAAGTAACCAATAACTGAGCTTTTTCCACCTGAGCGCAAGAACTTTCTGGTTCTGGTTGAAAATATTTTAATTCACACCAGCACTAGTTTTTGCAATAAGATCCAGCTCATGGGCTGAGACAGAAAGACAATTTGAAGTATCTCAGGTGTTACATTTACATCCCTTCTGGTTGCCTAAGGGCCCTGATGACCCAGATCCCCCAGTACCTGTCAGTTCACTGCCATGTTCCATAGCAAGCAGCTCATAAGGCTTCCCACATTCCTACCTCACATAAAAGTGCCTCTCATTTTTCCATTATGAAAAGAACAATTTGTTCCTAAAAAAACAGTGCACAAATAACTAAATTCAGTGTGGCTGCATTACTGATTCCTGTGACACTTGTTAAGACACTTTGCTGGCTAAATACTCCCCCAATGTTCTTACCTGACCGACAAGCAATGTCCACATCCTTCTCAAAATCAGTCTGCAACAAGAAACAATGAAACAGAACAGGCATTACTGATTGAAAACTAAACCACAATACCTTTTTGCCAACTAGCACTTCTAAAATGTCCTACTTACAGGGTCATAGTCTCTTAAAAGTGGTTTCCTTTTGCTGAGAAGGTGAAGTGTATTGTTTTACAACAGCAGAGCTTTACAAAGTTTCCTAAAGTATAATTGGGTGGTTTTCAAAGTATGCTGCCTGACCAGAAAAAATAAAATAAAATAGGTGGGAGTATAATTTTAATAAAATGATACAGCGTACAGTTTTTAATGTATATGGAAGACTAACTTCTCATCGAAGGATCTTCTTTGAGGCAGCTTTTCATAGCAATTTTAGGAACAGAAGTATGAAAACCAGCCTGTGATACAAATGACTGTGAATAAGTGTAATCCAATCAGTCCACCCTTTCTGAAACTTCAATCATTTGTTATGAAGTGCTTATTGTTATGAAACATTCCGTCATTCCTTGCTCCTAGTGTAATCATAAATTTTTTATACCCCCAGAAAACAAATGTTATGTATTTCATTGTGCAAAAATTAACTGTAAGAGCTAAGAATGAATTTAACAGTTGGAAATTGAAGCACACTTTTCCCAGCTAAACCAAACTGTTTATTCTGCTAGAGAACTCAATGAATTTATTTTTGCGTTTCCACACAAAGTTTATTACACCAAAATGTTCAATAAAACTGATCTCTTTCTTGCTTGTGAAGTCCAAACACTAAATTCTTTTTTTGAGTCATCAGTTTTGAAGGGCAGCTGCTTGCTGAGCTTTGCATTTTTGCTGAACATTGCTTGCTTTTAGAGCCTGATCCTGTCCCCATTATAGTCAGTGACAAACCGTTGTTGAAAGTGAAGAGACCCATATGTTGTCTTAATATACTACCTAACATTATTAGTAAATCCAAATTGACATACTGAGCCATTCTCTATCTCCTTAATTCAAGACAGTAAATGGACTCCCCCTGTGGAATCTCTAGCACTTTCTCCTTATCTTACTGTGAGAGGATGATTTTTCAAGACCTCATGAAGGGATGACACTTCAGTGCTCTTTATAACAACAGTAGAAAAAGTCACAATATATTATTAGATTACTTTCCCATTCTGTTATGTATGATCTTTTGTCCTAAAGAAAGATCCTGGAAGACACTAATTCACTGTGCTCCACTAAATGATCACATCAATAATTTAAAACTTGCTAAGAGATTTAAGCAAGCAGATAATGACCTAAACAGACTTATGCTTAAAATAGGTGTTAATATCTCTGTTATGCATATTTGCCACATACAATATAGTAAGGGTTTTTTTTCTTTTGGTTAGGAACAGTAGATTCATAGTCAAACAAAATAAAAGCTAACCATGATTTGAGCATGTCCATTAGGAAAAGAACTTGAAGAATCTGCATTGATTGGATCCTGGCAATTTCTCAGCCGACATCTGAATGCATCTTGAACCTGTGAAAAAAATACTTTATACTGATTCTTGTGCAACATCAAACACTCCACTCCTATTAAATATTAAATCAAACCATATGGAATACAATGCATGACTTTTCCTCAGCACATTTAGTAAACCAGAAGCAATAAACATTAGGTGTTCTGCTATTTCATACATGTGCTATATCTGGTGGCTGCTGCAAATTCTGTCTGTCACATCAAGACCATGGAATTAGATTTACCTACAGCCAGAATTAACTAGTAATCAGTGATGATATGATATCTGAGCAAAATCTGTCTTGGTGATAGTATTTGGCTTTGTCTTCTCATTCTTTTTGGTAGAATTCTGATAACAGGATTAATAGATATACTGTTAACCATTACAAAATAAAATATATCTTCTGCTTGATAAATGCAAGATTCTTGAAAATCAGTTCTTAGCAGTTACTATAATCAGACACATAGTGCTCTCCTAATTGTACAGTCAAGAATAAATCTATTTGAAAGATATTACTGATTCCAATCATAATCTTTAACTCCACGTATAGGGAATCTCATGCATCTTTTTTAGGAGTAAAAATGTTCAGATCAGAGAAATATCTTCAGTGTGAGCACAAGAAGAAAAGGGGACTATTTACACAAAGTTAGATTTCTTGAAAGATCAAAAGGAAGTTGTTTTTCTGTTTACTGTTTACTAATATGATCCATAAAGTAAATTTGAAGAATTGTCCCTAAAACACAATATATTTGAGGAATTATCTTTCCATAGGAAAAACTATTTTCACTTTCATTTTGGCCAGAATGTATGTCTAAGGAAATACTACTATGCAACACATCTGTCAGAAAGATGAAGTTCAATACAGAGGCACATTCATAAGGAAAATGCAGTTCTGGTTTGTTGACAGTAGAATGCAAACATATTTTGCTGCTTTATCACATGTACAACAATAAGGATGGCAAGGCAACTTTTGGAATGGAAAGTTTTACAATGTGAGTTTTGGTGACAGAAAGTATCCTTATTATATATATAAAATTATTTATCTGATTGCAAGATGTAACTTGGAAAACAGAAACTTGGTGAGGCAATCTCCAATCAAAACAAACTAATATTATTTCTTATTTGAATATGAAAGTACTCTCAATGAAATGCCTACTAAAAACTATATTCCATTTATTTTCTGTAAAAATTACTTGATGTCTTATTTGGAATAATTAAAAGGGAGAAAATTGGTTTCTACTCATGGACATTCTGTGAACAGCAGAAGAGCATAATTCATTAACTGTTGCTGATGAGAAGCCATCCTCTTTCAACACATCATATTCTAAGAGCTGTCATAAAAAGGAAAATGAAATAGAAAAAACTAATTTTTCTAATTAGAAAGCATTATTTTAAAGTGCTCAACCCTAACATGAGTAAGAGTGCTCTGCAGTCTTGATAAGAGACTGTTGCAGGTGGAGGAGCAAAAATAATGAGGCATGGTGGGAAAGGTTTGGATTGATTACAAGCGACTTACCACACGTGGTAAAGTGTGCTGTGTGGAGACTCAGATTCTGATTTTAGGCACTACACTTGCTTTCATTTTCCATGTGTTTGATGTTAATTTAATTTGGCATCTCCCAGTTGCTGCAAATTTAATCCAAGTCTTCTCTTACTTTATCAATGCTGAAGTTAGGTCACACTTCAGAGTTTTACGCTCTTGGATAAGCACTGGCACAGTGATTTGACAAAAAATAAAATACAAAATCCCTCCTTCCAAGGCATCACCAGCTGTGCTGAATCTCATCTCAGGGCTTATGATGCTAGATCCCAAACCATTGTTCCCTCAGAACATACTGTTTGATACACTGTGCAGTGGACCTCCTCATTTTTGGGACTCTGCTTATGGAGCCTCCCCAGTTTGGGCAGCTCAAGAGAACTCAAGAATCTCATGTCCTACTTTCACTGCCTTCTGTATTAAAGCAGTGAATCTTGGCGTTAGGGTCCTCTTAAATGTGCATGTTTCTTACAATGTTTCTGAAGTGCAAGTAGCATATGATTTGAACGTGTTAACAAAATGTCAAACGTAGCCGTATCCATCATATTGACATATGTTGCAATTTCTAGACATCCTTGCCCAAGTCAGAAACAAAACATCAGAACTTTCTAAATACCAGCTTAGTTCTCCAAACTGCTTGACCAAAAGTGTTGTTTGGGTATATAAAGACTGTGCTGTCTTTACATTTTACTTTGAAACATAATCTTGGCTTCCCCCCTTGCCTTTTAACATCAAGTTACAAGATTATTTTAGAGCCAGGCAGAGCAGGAGAGACAGATGTGATGAACGTGCAGATACCAGGGAAGTGGTTTCCTTAGCAACAGTAACCAGCTCCAAGCTTTTATAACTTACCCTCACCCTACTCATGTACTTTTTATTTTTCTCCTGCAATACAGAATTGTGGGCTCTAGACGCCAACGATGCATTTAATCCAAATGCTCTCTACTCAGCAGAACACAGCAAAAGAAGAAAATACATGCGGGTTCCTCCCATCACCAGCATTAACAGGAGTTACTGAGTGTTATTCAAATCAACTTTAGAGCATCTTGTGTTTGAGCAGGTCAAGCAAACTGTTTTCCTCAGATGGTGAAGCTTCAGTGCTAACCTCTCCTATCACCCTCTGTCCTGTGGCACATACCTCACCATCTTCCAATGTCCAATTAGACGTTTAAACAGCAAGAAGAGGAAAAAACCCCAACAACCAAACTCTACTTTGCATTTTTCTTCCAAAATTTCCAAATGGTCTATGCTTAAAATATATTGCATTTATTTTAGAAGTTCTAAAACAGAAGTATAGAAGGATTTAATGTGTTTCCAAATGACACTGAATTGATGGAGGACAGAAATAGACAACACATTGCTGAGTTCTGTTCTAGTTGTTCATCTTAGTCAGTGAACATCCCTGGCTTCCTAATGCAGGCCCTGTCACACATGATCTCCAATACAGCACACTAGAGAAAGTAACAAATGTTTCCATCATTTATGTTTATATCAACATAACTAGGAGGAAAAATGGGGCTTTTATATATAATTGTAGAACTCTGTGTCTTTTTGTAATGTAATGACAATAAAGGCATAGTAAAGCAGGGTTGTCCTCTTTGTTTGAATTTTATGGTGATATATTCCACCCCATTTTTTTTCCCCCTGACAGTCAGAATTATTGTTTTGCCTGTGCTGGCATGCTATAAATATTAGATTGATCCTATAGGCTATAACTGAGATAGCTTTGTAGCTGTCATCAGGAGTGACAAATATGTTGGCAGGATTTCCCTGACAGTCACTGGCAGAGCTAAATGCTTTTGCAGACAACCAAAAGTAACAGACTATTCTTTCAGTTGGGAGGTATCCTGTGCAAAGACTGCGTTGCACACTTTGCATAATGCCCACTGTTGTGGCCTGTACTCATCTAAGTGTCTCTGGAGCTGGAAGACCAGGCTCAGATTGAAACACAACCTAGTGGAGTTACATCTCTGTGTAGTAACATGTTGCAGCAAACAGTTAGGTCTTTGCTGCTACAAACTGAACCAAGTTAGTGCAGACCATACACATTTTTGAAATAAGAATTATTTCAAGTGCATCTTTGCTTTTCTTGAAGAACTTTCTATTAATTTTCTTTTCCCATATTAGAAAGATTACCTTAATTAATTCCTCAAGTGTTTGTCCAGTTTGGAATTTAAATCTGGAGGATTAAAGAAGAGTCAATTTGTTCTGTCAAATTGAGTTCAATCAGCAATATGTCTAGGCTTCTTTGTCTTCCACCACCACCACTATCATCATCTTGACTGGAGATAGTCTACTGATTTGTGAATAAACTCTGTACATTTACTGATGCCTCAGTTGTCATGACTGAAGAAAAAACTCCACCTCCTTTTTCATAAAGGAGAACCTTATCAAACTTGTTGCATTTTGGGCCTCACTGGGAAATCTCATGAGGTCATTTTTTAAAATACCATGTAGTTAGATTCTTTAGCTGGTTTATTAAATGCCTTTCTCCTAGAATTTCAGTGTTAGAATTGGGATCTGTAACTGCCAAGAACAACTTGCTGGAACAACTCCTTTAAGTAGTTAAATGGACTAATGGCTTTTCACAGGTAGAAGATATACATGTGTAAATATATAAATATATATATATGATTTGTTAAAATACCATGAATAAAATAAACCATAACTAGGCTATACATCTATACATGTGAGTATGGTCAGACAAGAACATTGCCATGAGATGCTCAGCATGATCACAGCATTCCTTGGGAATGAAGCATTTGCATCAAAGAGCTACCATCAGAGTAGAAAACCTGTCTTTAATTCAAGGCTAAGGGCATTGTTGGAAGACGTCAGTTGATTTTCATCTTAAACAGACAAAATATATATTTTTCCAAATGAGCTTCTGCATTACTGTGCTGATGCAGACTTCAATGTCTGATTGATTTTTTTAAATTTTATACAGTGCTATGCTGTTATTTTTATAATTTCTCATGAATTTTCGTCTGCTTTTTGACAAACTCAATGACTGATAACAGGTATGTGTTGCAGTCTCTCTGAATCTGTACAAAGGGTATGAAGAAATGGAATTAGGAGACAAGGCAAGGGAGTTAGAACATGAGGAAATGGAATGAAGCCACATCAGGGGAATTTGGATTGGACATTAGAAAAAAGTTCTTCACCCAGAGGGTGGCTAGACACTGGAACAGCTCCCCAGGGAATTGGTCATGGCACCAAGCCTGTCAGAGTTCAAGGAGTGTCTGAACAATGCTCTTAGTCATATGGTTTAATTTTAGGTAATTTTGTGAGGAACAGGGACTTGGACATGATGATCCTTATAGGTCCCTTCAACCAGAGATATTCTATGGCTGTGAATGATAGTACTGTTCATACTGCTTTGGTTTTGAATGTTTCACATGCAACCTTGTGCTAAAGATACATATTTTAGAATAAAAATGGTTCCAGAGGACAGTAAGTGGGAGGTGATCCGCCCTTTCCAGGCTAATTAATATACCTCAATGGAAGCACAAATTTCATAGATGGGAAAACCAGTATGAAACTACCATTCTTTCTACTGAATATAGTTCCAGTGTCTGACCATTTTACTAAAAGAATATGTCAAATGATGACTTTCAGATTTACAGAT